CTCTCTTGGATGCGATCCCTTCCCCATAACACCCATCGTTTCCCGAATTTTCCTCACTTCTATTCACTGTCCTGAGCTTTTCAAAAAAAAGAAATCCGCCGATTGGGTAAAGGGGCACATGAAGCGGGGTGAACCGAGAAAAGTCATCAATCGGAAGCATTTCTCGAAGGCCAGTGCGAACTCCCTCATTTCAGCGACCAAACGCGATTCTCCTCACTGAAACTCCCACGTACGACATACGTTGGGTATAGTGATACTACTACTTACCTGATTTCCAACTTTGGCAGCGGGCTTTTTCCTACCACTTTTTTTCTAGGCCTTCTGTGGACGGGCAGTCATGCAGGCATATGTACTTGCAGACGGATATACATGCCGGAAAGGCTTACAAATTGACAGACCAAGTTAGGGTTTATGAAAAGGCGCGATGATATGCTATGACCGGTCAAGGACGGGTTGCCATATTCCGTACAACATGCTACCATGATCGTCGATTGTACCGAGAGCTACTGTCTACGGTGATGTTAACGCAATCGGACCTACATCGAAGAACAAACTGATAAGAACTTCGGCTCCAGTAGCTGTCCGGGTGGTATGAAGGAAAAAAGTGTGGAGGAGGCAGGGTATTGTCTACTGCCTAAGTTGTCTGATTAATTGATGCGACTCCATTCTCTTGAAAAATTTATTTAGCTTTGAGAAGGGACTATTTTCAGAGGCAGATATGAGCCATTTTGGCTACAGCATCGAAGCACTCGAAATACTCGAACATTACGGGGCAAGACATTTTTAGGAGAATCTTATTACCTCTTTGATTCCCAAAGGTTTCTATGCACTACTGAAAGGATTTGGCTGTTTGACCCACCCGATGCCTTGTTCCGCCTCGCTACCCGCTGTGCTTGAATCAAGAAGCCATAATTTCTCAAGCTCCACAGTCGTTCTTCGCGTCTTCTAAGCACTAATGTCGTGGCGCAGAGTGAGGAAACTCTCCTGAAGGACTTGCTTGCGTAAATTTGGGATCACCGTAACACACCAGCCATTGCACCAAAATGACAAAGCTACATCACGCAAGACATGACTTCGCACAGCTCGGAAAGCGCTCATACTTCGCGAAGCGATAACGCGAGCGATTTGGTCGTCCCCATTGCGCGACAAAGACCGCTAGCCGATGGACCGGCGCGAAAGCATCTGATAAAAGAGCCCTTCGAGTTTTCATTCTTTATTTGAACTCTCTATCAAATCTTTCGTGACCAGGTAACGCAGAGAGAAAGTAGACGAATCTCCCCTCGCAAATGATTGAACGAGGACATGGACAGGACAGCCACTCTCTCGCGAGCGCGATGTCGCGCACCACGCCCACCAGCGCGGCATATTACGATTGTCTTGTCACACACTCAACTGAGCCACCCTTGCAGCGGTCCACCAGCTAGCGGTGGAGCGCCTATGGTCTTGGAACGCACAAGGAGCGATGAAAACGCCGCCCAGTCAAGGTTACCAAACCGCTCTTGCAACTAGCGCGACCGAATTCGCGAAGTATGAACGCTCTTTCAGCTAGGGATGCTCCCTCTGAAGACATACGACGCCGTTTGTAAGATTTTTTTGCTTCTTCGCGTTGGTAGTGGTCAGCTATGGAAAACTGAGCGGAAAAAGGAAGTATCGTCAAATGGAACGGGCAGCACGAATCCTCGGAAGAAGCTCTTTAGAACGGGCAGCATAAATCCTCTGAAGAAGCCCCTTCAAGGAAGGACAACAAAAATCAATTTTTCACTGAGCGGAGACTCAAACACTCACACGAAAGCCTTCTTAACATTCTCAAAACCATGATTTACAGTGCCATCAATATGAAGTGGTAGTCTTGAATATAGTAGTTCAGGAACGAAACTGATGGCCAGAGCAGCGATGACGGACACTAGCGAATACTTGGCTGCCGATCCCATAGGTGTTGTACTGGAAAAATGAAACCTACTAGTTGCTACTATCAATTAGGCGAAAATCAAGAAGGAACTGATTCCCAGTAAGTTTGCGATAAGCAGAGCTTGCAAGCGACTGAGTAATTTTTACGGGGAATACTAATTGGATGAGATGGAAAGACAACACCGAGGGCAGCTAGAGAGCGCCACCCATGTCTGTTAACTAGGTGACGTCGTTCTGGTTGGGCGGAGCTTCATGTGATACTCCTTATCTTCAATAGAGAGCAATGTGAAAGTCCAAATTCGCGGAAAAAAACGCCATTTCTAGTGATAGGGATACCTCTACTGTGCCAAATAAATGAGCTGCTATGTAATGACGATAGTAGCTGGGCAGTATGGTAAACAAGTAACAATTAGTATAAGCATTTGAGAAGTTTGAGAGCTAATGAATCTGATTACTCACATACTACAGGCCTGAGAAAAACGAGAAGTGTTCTGCAGATCATGTTTCTTACACTTCGGTGCAAATCGGATTTGTTAACATGGAACAGGGCACGCCCTGCCGCAGAGGAGAATTTTCAGAAAATACGACCCCCTACCCAGGGCACGCCATCGTTGTGATCATCACAAGGGGGGGGGTCGTATTTGGTCAGTTCATGGACGCACTACTATTTCCGACACTTGAAAATGATAGTTTAATTCTGACGACCTCCCCCCCCCCCCCCCCCCCCCCGCTCGACGGCTCGGTTCGATGAGGAAGGACAGAGGGCTGGGAGGGGGGGGGTCGTACCAACTCCCAAAAGGGGGTCGTATTTTAGTATGGAATTAGGGGGTCGTAATTTTCAGAACAACGCGATGGCGTGCCCTGCCCCCACCTGCCCCATCCTACCTACCACTTTCCAATATTTTCCCAGCTGTCTGCCACTTCTTCCAATTTTCGGGAATTCCCTAAAATCGTGCTGTAGTGCAATGGCGGGAGGTGGGGGAGATCGTCAGCAACCGACTACGAGTTTCAACTATAAAAAATATTTCTCTCGAAGGCAAGTACGATTCCTCCTTGATAGCGTCTGTGAAAGAAGAGGAATCAACTATCAAAAAACTTTTTTCATCCCAATTACGACCCCCTCCCCAGCGATCGGATAGACCCCTCCCCCTCGGGAATCTCCCGATCTTCTGAAGACGAAAACGACTTAGCATTTCTTCGAAAGCCGGCTCGGTTCGAAGAAGGATCCAATTGAAAAGTTGGCAAAGCGCCGCAAGGTTGATTGAGCAGCATTCACTCAGTAAGTGAGGATACTAACAATAGGCATGGAAGCTTCCGAGCAAATCTATTTAGTTGACTCAACGGTGCCCTTAGCAGTGCAGCAGGGTCTTGCCCTAAGCCGAAATCGCTTGACTGAAGCTTCCAGAGGCTCCAACTGTAAAACTGAGGTTAGAAGCTCCGCAATTCCCATATCGATGTCTTATCGGTCGTTATTTAGGGGCAGTTCAGCGAAGCGGGAGGGGAAGAGCGCATTGTGGCACTTAGCACTTTTGCTACATTCCATCAACGTGTCTACCCATCTAGAGAGCCTTTTCTTGAGTTGACAGGTTTACCATGGTGGCTCGACGAGCTTGCTCCAGCTTCACAAGAGTTCACAGGTTTCACCAGAGTGAGACTTGTAAACCAGAACTAGTGAAGCAGCGAAAGTGCAAAATGCCCTCACCCCCCCCCCCCCATCGCCGAACTGCGCCGTTATTTACGTCATTGAAGCATGGAGCCGCTCGCAGGATACTGGAAAAAAAATGACAGACGATAAAGTTTGGCGATCCAGAGCTGGAGAGTCCGCGGCTGTCCAGCACAAGATAGGACAACACTTGTATCGAATGGAGGTATCCTACGAACAACGCATCCTACGCCATGTTTAGTGCAGTATGCAGCCACGCCTACTCCATCTCTGGGAAGTGCTGTATACGTAGCTGCGCCCCGCCTTTCTCCAGAATGTAGGCGCATGTTTATATATCAAGCGCGGGATTTCTTCGAAGTTCTAAACATTACAAAATGAAAGGTGAAGACAAGCCAAAGACCTGATAGAGCCTAACAGAATGCCGAGATAATTCGAGATATGTTTTTGTTCGCTCTGCTTTTGCATCTTTTGCTTTGTTCATTTGATTTATACGTACATCTATTTGATGCCAGTGGGAAACTTGCACACAGAAGAAAAAAATCGCAACAATTGTTTTTTGAAGCCAGTTTTGATTAGCCTCACCTCTGCACTTTTGCAAAATCACACGTTTCACCGAGACCTGCAGACTTACGTTGAGTGTAAATGTAGCTCATACTGGTGCACTGCTTTACAGGGAGAGGCATTTCGCACTCTCGCTGCTTCCCATCGTCGTGGTTCACTGTTTTTCAGGAGTTGAAATAGTTCCTATAAACTTTTACTGGTATTACTCCAAGACTTTACTTGACGGCGCGACACGACGATGGGAATTAGCGAATGTGCAAAATGGCAAAAAGCCCCCAGGCTGAACTGCGGCGGAAGGATTGGATATGGAATTCTACAGACTATTTCATTTTCTTCTAAGTAAGTCTGGGAGCAAAGCAAGGAAAGCAAGAAATTAGCAAAAAAAATGATAGATTTGACTGGAGTGAAAAGGTTATCCGGAATCTTAACTGAGGACCATACGCGTGGAAACTGCGCCGCTAACCATTTTGCCACCTTTAAGTCTTTCTCAATTCTACAGTTACCCCGCCTCATACGGAACAAAGCAGTATATTTATGGGGCTTCGTGAACGTTCCGGGCCACTCAGGATTACACCTATTGCAGACAACCTTTGCACTACCACCAACGGTCAGGAAAGGCCTTGTTTGAAGCTTGATTGGGCTGCAGACAATTTGATATCGGACCTTTTAAATGCGTCCCTTCTGCCCTTCTGTTTCATTCATCGGGAAGAAGAAGCCCTTCGCTTTCCTCCCAATAAAGGTTCACGAAACTGACGCATTCTTCAATTTATTCACATCACAAATGTCGACAACAATTCAAAACGTAACAAGTAACTACATCAGCAACAGATAATTCGCCAAACCTGGTTAACAAGTAAATAACAACATATTAAATGAGAAGTTTCTCAACGTCTTCTTTGAGTTTCTGAATCTGAGATTTGAGCTGAGATCCTTCATTTTGAGTTATGGACACGGCAATCACTGGGCGAGTGACACCACAAGCACGACCGAGAGCAGCCTTGCTTCTCACGAACACATACGGTACGTTCTTGTCTTCACACAGAAGAGGTAAATGCAGAATAATCTCCAAGAGGTTCGGCATCTGCTGCCATAATAATCACCTGAAAATAATTGAGATCTCAACGAGTACATTTCAAAAAAGCCGCAGTTCGGCAACGTGGGAGGGGGGGGGCATTTGGCACTTTTGCTTCTTTCCATCGACATGTCGAGTCATCAAGTGGAGGCCTATGAGAACTCGCCAATTTTACAAGATTGAGTCTTGAAAATCGGAATTACTGAAGCACCGGCACTGTAAAATTCCCCTCGTCGCGGATTGCGCATTGAAAAATAGTAAGTTAATCGGGAATATCTCACCTCCGCTATTCCTCTGTTAAGTGTCTTCGTTGCTTCATTAGCACCCTTCTTCAACTGTTTGTAGTTCATCGCTTGCTGTACAAGATCCAGAAGTTTCTGAGAAAGTTGTGTATCAGCGAGTGGATAGGCCTTCGGATTGACTCCATCATCGGCCATTTTTTCTATTCTTTCTGAAAAAAAACGTTTGAAAAGTAAATAAGTAGCCAAAGTGCATGAAGAAACGCCGAAAAAAACTAGGGCTTCAAATTATCGGAATCGGGTAAGTTGTAAATAAAAATAAAGATCGTTTTCTATTGCAATGGTGCACTTTGTTAATCCCTGTCGATATAGTGGCCATCTTGTACAGTTCTGTAAACTAATCGACCCATTCCAGTCATGTAATTTCCCATAAAGCATCGAAATGGTACAAGTTTCATTTTCACTGTTTTCATGGCTGTAAGGCTTTTCAAGAGCGCGAAGCAACAATTACAACTCAGTAAATAAGAGTTCTCGCCTGAGTCTGAATAAGAAGCTCCGGGTTGGGCGAAGCAGTTCCTATATCCAAAAAGGACTGGCAAAGTGACTAAACAGTTTACAGGAGCGTACAAAATAGTTGACTAAACAGTTTACAGGACCACACAAAATAGTAGTGTTGACACGAAGTAACCGAGTAGCCAGGTATACGAGCATTCAAGCTGAGATGATCGGGGACTCGCTACCAGTAAGCACTGAATCCCAAACTTACTTTTGTAAGAAAGGAAACATGGACAACTATACCAGGTCGTTGTGTAGAAGAAACTCGTGAAAAAGTATAAAGTTTAAGGAGAAACAAGTTCCAACCACTGCGAAACAACCAGTGCCGCGTCTGGAACTATTCGAAATAACACGAAATAAAAAAGTGAAACAAATTTGAAAAGCCGGTCCCGCGTGGAACGGCCTTCTGTCTATCAATCCGTCGTCAGATACAGCTCTCATTCTGCACCTTACGTACGAAACGCTCATTTACGCGCCAACTTGTGGCGGTCGATTTTTCACTCAAATTTGTAAGCTTTCGGTCACTTTTTCTTGCACCTTGTTATATTCTTCCCATGAAACATTTCCTGGAGCATCGCCAATCATAGTTGACCTGTTGAAAGGGTGAGAGTAAGCTCAGTGGCACTGTTCCATTGTACGAACGAAAAACTGTGAAATTCCTTTTCGAAACTCACAAAAATACCTGAGAAGGGTTCATGGTTTGTCGTCACAGGAAAGTAAACCTTACAGATACAACATCACTTCATAATGTGTTTTGGGACCGCAATGGTATTTTTTAGCGGCATTCATCTAGGCGCAGAAAGTCGGAGTATTGGTAATTTGAGCGGCCTAAGTAAAAACTGATTACATTTGTTACTTCAATATCTGGAGCCTGCACACAAAGGATGTAAGAAGCTTGCGGTTGAAAAAAAGCGGTTGAGCAGGCGGCATCACCAGCTCGAGGCTAAGGCAATGCCCCGCGCTTTGCCCCATTTCGCACCCAACTTTCATTTCTTAGTGCTTCCTGATGGTTCGGCCGTTTCGCTGGTGGCTCTTAGCATTTCGAATGAAGTGAGATGGTAGGGGAAACGGTCAGGTATTAACAAGTGAGTTCTCGTATAAGCGCGTCTCCTCTTGGTCGATCGTCAAAGGGTCCTATCTACGGCCTCTCGAAAGGTTTCTTTCTTTTTTCGGCACTGTCGAGTTTCCTGCCAACTCGTCATGAAAATACGAGTTTCTTTACTCACATTTTTAACCGTGTGACTTTTAGCAACCTATACTTCATCGTACCGTTCTCACTGTGGTCCTATATCGTAACTTTTTAATGAGTCTTCCATGTTTCCAGGTCAAAATGGGGGCGGACACTAAAAAGGAGAAGATTCAGAATCTTGCAAGTGTCAAACATATCTGTGACTGCCACCAAGGACCAGATATTTACCATGTTCCAATACATTGGCAGAATCGAAGAGATGAAGGTGAGTATCAAAATGAATAAATAGGGTTTCCCATGATCCTTTTATATATTCGTGGTTCCAAGTTTGTAGGTTGAATATATAAGCGCACTGTTCGGCTTAGTGAGGGAGGGGGCACCGCGCACTTTCTCTAGTTCTATTCCTACTTCATATTAAGTAACAGGTGAGACCTGCAACATCTTGTGAAGTTGCGAGTTAGTACAAGTAAGCCACTAAAGTGACAGGTTTCTACAGGTCTTCACAAGATGGCTTGTACAAATGTCCAAGCTCCGCTGGGTACTAGATGGTGCTTTCAGGCACCAATAGACAGCCTCGTTCGCTGCTAATGATGGGGCGTGTCAGTGCGACTGGGCTTAGCGCGCCACCAGCCCGTATTCCACCAGTTGTTGAGGCGGGTGGACGGCAACAGTTAGTGGCAAGACTGATACGAACGACAGTCTCATCGCTTGCTTAAAGAATAAAAAGTGGGCTGGTGCTGCGCCAAATCGAGCTGTATGAGACGCAAGACTGCACCTTATCTTGTTAATTCAAGCTGTGGTCATTCTCGTTTATTTTCACCTTGTTCAGGTATATCCTAGCGATCTGAACATCACCTCTTCAACAGTTTCGAAATGTGCCTTCATAAAATACGATGATGACCGTGCCGTAGAAGTCGGACAGCACCTGACAAATACAGTTCTCATCGATCGAGCGATAGTTTGCGCTCCATATCTACAGAGTATGCGAGCTTTTCCTTCGCTTGACTGTAAAAATCTCATTAATTTGACGCCTTAAGGTGTTATTCCTGACGAAGCCACGTTCACAGCCACTGGAGGTCCAGTTACTGCCGGCCAGCGTCAGTTGCCTCCACATGTCACGAATAAAGTTCAAGAACTGGAAGATGGCACTTCTGTGGTAATGTTTTTCTTGTATACTTTAAATAGTACCTTTGCGTCCACGACAAGAATTCTTTTGTAATTTTCCAGAATTGTCATCGCCAAGGAACTGCGGTCGTCCAGTCTTTACAGCATTAACTAAAATTTGGTTTCAGACTGAGTCAAGGGCTTAGTTTGACCTTTTGCCTTGAATTAGTCTAGAAGTTGTCTTCGGCCCAAGTTACCTCCGAATTTTCCGACCTCTAAATCTGTCCCCATTATGCAAACTCAGTAATATTTGTAATTGTGCCCTCCGCGTTTTTGTTCACAACTAATTTGTTCCACCTATTTCAGTTGCTTACAGTGGATCCGCAAATGGAAGCGCTTGGTCTTCCATCCTATCCACCACTACCTGGCAATACTGACATGGCGAAAGTGGAAGAAATTAGGAGAACAATCTACGTTGGCAACTTACCGAAAGGTGTCGATGGACAAGCTGTTCTCGATTTCTTCAACAATTTTGTAGGAGAGGTAAGTCCTAGTTGTGATATAATCACTGCAGCCTTGTTCGCTACGGACGCTGGGGCATTTGGAGGACTGGATTGACGCGGAAAACCGTTCTTCCCAGTTGTGGAAGCTGATAGTGGCAAAGTGTGAAACGTGCGGAACCCAGCCCTTGTAAAATGTTTCAGGTCTGCAGAGAACAAGACTGTACACCGCCCTGATATCAATAGGTATTGCAGGTCATGTATCTTCGCATGGCAGTTGCTCCAGACACACTGCCCTGTGCGTATGCATACATCGAGTTCACCAATCAAACATCCGTGCCGATAGCTCTTCAGAACAATGGCATCGATTATGAGGGTAGACCTCTGCGGTGAGTGTGGTTGCGCCGTTTATACTTTCTCTGGGATATTATCTTTTTTTAGAGGCTGCATCATGGTGTGGCTTTTGCATTGCACATGCGCTTAGGGGGGGGTAACGTAGTTGGAGGCGACGCCAGCCTCCGTCGGCGTCAAGCTTTCGGTATTCTAGTTGTCCACAAGGCTTCTGAGCCTAAGTGTGATGTGGTAATCGCTGTCCTGTTGAGAGGTAGAGTACAGGCGACTAGATGGCCCCGGGGTTTTTGGAGAGTGTCATAATGGAGAAGCTAGTTGTTTTGTCCTTCAATTTGACATGTTTGTCAAATGCTTTTTAACTCTAATTGTTCTTGATGTTGAAGTTTGAGCAGCAAGTCAAAGCGATTTGCAAACAATTCATTAAATTACGCTAACGCTCTGGCTGGATATGCCAACAGTTCTGTTCGAGAATATACAAGCAGCTAATTCTGGAAAACTTCAGAAGTTGCCTCTTTCCCCTTACTCGGCGGCATGTCGTGCATGCTCATGGTATTGCTCCTTGCTTTCCTTACCAGAACCTCTTATTTTCGTGGAATTCTTACACCAGATTCGGAAAAGATTTTTAATCCGTTCAGTTCGACAGAAGAAATGAAAAAGGGGTGAGGTGTTCACCATCAACCAGTCCCATTCAGGATTTGGGAGACAAATTTTACTTCTATTCGGAATCGAGGTGGCTTATTAGATGCGATGTGACCTATACAATAATTCAGCCGGTGTTCGAGTCAGTGTTACTTCTCTCCCAGATGAAGCTGGTGCCAATTTACTGTGCCCGGAGGGTAGAAGGCTCGGTATCCAGGGCTGGAGCCGATCTTAGATTTCACCACCGGAAGCGCGCGGGGCAAGCGTGCCACCATCTCCACCTCGGTTTGATATACCTTACAAAAATCCATCAAAGAATGTACTCTATACGACGCGCTGTATTTTGAGCTGAGTTATAGCAATTGCTGTTACAGCTTCTTCTATAAGGGGAGAGTTTTCTTGGCTGCCTTGTCCAGATCGGCTGCATTATATTTTTGTCTGTTTTGTATTTGTACTTTTATTATATTCATTTTCAGAATTCAACATTCCCGTGTTGCCATAATCAAACCTCAAGCAAAATCCGCTGATCAAGCCCTGGAGGAAGTCGAGGAAGCCATTCGTATGGGAAAGAGTCAGTCATGCCGTTTTTTTGTTTTCGAAGCATTTCCTCTGCAGTAGTTGACAATCTGATAACAATCGATTTATTTAGACGGACGGTCACGCTCACGTTCACCTTTGCGTCGTCGCCGCACTCCTTCCCCATCGCCTCGTCGCAAAAGCAGATCGCCCCGACGTCGCAGAAGTCGTTCTCGATCGAAATCTCGTGATCGTAAAAGAAGTAGAACAAGGTCTAGGGATCGCAAAAGGAGTCGTTCACGCGACAGGAAACGCAGTCCCAGTAGGACTAGGCGAAGAAGTCGAAGCCGGTACGTTGGTAGAGTCTTGTGCGCGTGTGAGGCCATAAAATTTTCTTTGAAACCTAGGTGGTTTATAACTGGAAGGCGGTCAAGACAATCGTAATCTGCCGCTTAGTCGCGCGCGGCGACGGATGTGGCGTCTCCTTAATTTGTATTAGCCTTTCGATTGCAGCGCCGAATTTCATACAGTCGGCCACCTTGTGGGCATTATTGCTATTTTGGTTACATACTGTCTCTTGTCGCCATCTACGACCTAGAGACAGTCATTTGCAGATGCGCGCCGCACGCAACGCCCACCAGCGCGGCGAATTACGATTGTCTTGTCACAATCCCATCAGGAGAGAATTCCTTCAGGGGGCTGTACTTGGTCGCAACTTTGTAATATGGGAGGTTTGACAAGATCTTTCGGACCATATGACTGGTCACAGAGTCCAGAGGAGGCCTGAATTTATTCGTAGTATCCATAGAAAGCAATTCTTTCCAGTCTGAGCCCTAAGAAGTTTTCAAGGAATGGGCTCGAAGGATATAATAGGTAAATGCAAATGATCGGTTCGCTGCTGCTTCTTCCAGCTTCCTTAATATTTTTATGTAGTCATCTTTCTTTATCCCCTCATCATTTTCTGAATCAGCGAAAATCGTCCCCGCCATATTTACGCGGCAGCTGAACCTATCAACGTACAGTATTTTTGTATTTTTTTTACCACTCACCATTATTTTTGCATTAAGCGATCGCCGTAGGCGTTCTCGTTCACGTGAGAAGAAACGTGACCGTAGCCGGTCGAAAGATAGAAAAAAGGAAAAGGAAAGGGAGAAGGAGAAAAAGGAAAGGAAACGGAGCAGGAGCCGTGATAGGAAGAAGGACAAGGTTCGCCGTTTTGTAGCCGTTACGTGTTTAAGTGGCTAGTTTGTGTAGAATTGTGTATACCTTGTTGTTTAGGAAAGCAAACGTGATCGTAGCTCGGAGCGCAAGAAAGACAGGGATAAAGAGAAAAAAGAGAAAGAAAAATCGAAGGTAAATAAGTAAACCCTTTCACTTTATCCTGCAAATGTGAGTTTTTCAGGAAAAGGAAACAAAGGTTGAGGAGCTTGACGAAGAAACATTACGAGAGCGACTATTGGAAAAAGCCGCTGTACGAAGTGGGAAGGATGGGTGAGTTCTAACTGCTACTTCTCTCTATTCATTTCACAGGACTTTATTCATACAAATTCACAGCTCTGCCCAAACCTCTACCTTGTTGACAAAAATATGATGTTTTTTTGCCGCGGCAAACTTTTTACGAACTTGTTTCATTGCACTCTTTATGAATGGCCTGGCTTTCTGGCTAGTTGGTCTTCATCAGAGCTCTAAACTAGGCGAATGGATAGAAATTGCTCTCGTGTTAAGAAAAACGCCTGCCTTTCTAGTGCGTTTTCGACGGAAGATCGGAACGAACGAAAGACTCGATTGAGAGAT